GGGAGAGGGCAGAGGGCAGAGGGCAGAGGGCAGAGGGCAGAGGGCAGAGGGCAGAGGGCAGAGGGCAGAGGGCAGAGTTCAACCAAGAAAGCTGCAGCTTACATCACCTTCGATTCAGGACATCGTACATGCAGCGAGAGTGCAAGCCATCGTACTTCGGATCTCAGCCCCAGCTAGAAAAGCCCGAATGTAGGCAGGAGCCCAGGCCGTTTCGCGGATGCCGTCTTAGATAATCAGAGGGGCCATGGAGGAGGAACGGGAAGCTTTGGAAGCCGTCTACGACACCGACTTTGAGGCCAGTGTGTTGACAAAACGAGATGTATCTAGGCGTGGACAGGGATCCTAGATTTGGGCATGCCTTGCATGCTCCTCCATGAAATTGAGCAGAGGCTCCAGTTCTGTTTCACAGATCTTGGCCTGTTTCCTGCTGCGGTGCTGCACGGGAGGTTTTGTTTCATCGGTATGCTCGAACTACACAGCAGAACGAAGTTTTATATGGTTTGCCAACTCAATTCTGTTCTATACTCGGTTCGAGATTGTAAGAGGGAGAGAGAGAGAGAGAGAGAGAGAGAGAGAGAGAGAGAAAAAAAAAGACTGACAGTGTCTCTGCTTGGAAGGCCGACGGGTCCACTTGGCGAGTGAGGCTACCGGAGCTCAATGCGGTACTGATACTTCGCTTGGGAGGCATTGTGCCGCTTAGTCCTCATCATATCTCCTGCATCAAACTAGGACCCCCGGGATGATGATTGTGAGTACAAATCGTCATTCAATCGACCGTGGCGCAGGTGGGTATCCGGAGTCTCAGCCGCCATCGCCATCCCTGGAATTCGATCCCTGGCCGAAGGGCGGCGATGCTTTCGCACGGCGTGTGACACAGGAGCGAGCTTCATTTCATGTCTTTGTGGGCGCTTAATTCTTTCGACAGCTCGCGGCAGGGTCGAGGGCCTGTGATACTGTTATTCTAGATGCGACCATCCAGCTCATCGTCGCCGCTCTGCTTCGGTCTATCCATCTGCCCTGCCTGCTTGATTGTCTTTGTCTCCCTCTTTGTTGGTGTCTTTTTCTCCTTTGTTCCATTAGCTGACCTGTTTGTCCGCTCAGGCTGCCTCCATGCAAGCGATGGTATTCTGATAGACTTTGTCACTGCATGCACTCAACGGACGTATACGTGCGTATTCTTTATTTGTTTCATGCAAGTGCGTGTGTCTGTGTGTGCACGCAACACATGCATCTTCATGTACACACCTAGAACTGCACTGACTTCGGAATGCTTTGCAATTTCGCTGCATATAGCATGCTGCGGCGGACCGGTCGAAACTAAGCTTATCCTGAAGATGCCTCGGTCAAAAGACGCAAAGCAGAATAGCATCGGAGCCTCACAGCCCCTAAAGCGTTCCTTCGGAATTTTCCGAAGATATAACTCAGGCCGAGCCCTACTCTTAGGGCTCATGTCCATTTAGGTACGTCCGTATGCATGCACGTATATATGTACATCCTTGCAACGCCATGTTCAATCCATTCTAGGTTGCCAGCCCCGCCAAACCTTGCTCACATCCTTGAACGCCTTAGGCCTTATAAGGCCGGACTGAAGCACCACTCACTACTCGCGACTCAAGACTTACTTGAAATACTTCGGCATTGGGAAGCCTCTACTGACGCCTCATAGAAATCTAGCAGAACTCTTTCGCATCCTGTAGAACCCTCCTCCCTACTGGCTGTGGCGGCACAGCGCCTACACCCAAGAGGGGCTAGGCGAGTTCTGTGAGGTGAGCGTCCCCCCAGCTGGATCCCTATACCCATAGGCCCCATAGTAGTTCCTTGTTGGGATTACCTAATATAGGATTCTAAATATGAACGGGCCTATGGGTAATCCCCAAACCAACCTCCCACACCCTAAGCTCGGAGATGCCCCTGCAGATGAACCCGAACAGCAAGGCCATATCTTTTAGCTGCAAACCGGACAAACCCCGTTTCTGTTTCATTGTAGCCGAGTACGTGGGTACGTAACCTTAAGCGGTTTTGTTAGCTGACAGTTAGCTTTTGCCACAAAGCACCCCAAAAGCAGGACTTGTTGGGCCAATTTGAGCCTGGCAGCGGCTGTGTGATCCAGTGGGCTACTCGCGGTGAAAACCGAGGAACTTTGCAAGGGGGCTTTTTTTATGGCTTACGTAGTTTACGAGTTTAATTAATAATTAAGGGTCCAGGGTTTCGGGGTTTAGGCTTTTGCACGGTTTCAGGTTTAGGGTCACGAGGGACATTGGCCGGGCGAGCTCCAATCAAGCCTGTGTAAAAAAGGGTCATGGGGGTGTGATTGCATCCTGAAGCTTGGGATGACCAGTTGATCAGTTTTGCGGTCTGGGGTAGCGGGGCGGCACGAGTCCGCAGGACAGTCGGCGCCTCGGTTCCTGGCATATGCATAGCCCAGGTGCAACAGGTGTAATGAAGTTCACAAGCCCGATTTAGAAGAGGCTCATATAATTGGCTTGTAAATTTTGGCTAGGTCAAGTTGTTCTATAGGTGTGTTTTTGCCACCGCCGCTAGCTTGGGGGGCTTGCTTTTGTTTAACATGTTGCGCTGCTTCTTTCGAGTCATACCTGTGCTCTTGCAACGTTGCAGCGGGGTTTTTGCGCGCTTCTTCTGGGTGATGATCGGGTTCTCGCGGTTTGTAGTGCTAGCTGCCAGCTGTGGACGGTTCGCCCCCGGAGCCGTGCCTGCCTTGTGCGAGTGCGAGGGTCGAGACCCCACTTAACCATTGTAAACTAGCTGCAAAAAGTTTGGATAATGCCGCTACTTAAATCTCCAACTAAGAGACTTCTATCTCCACTTGGCGCCTAGCCATGGGCCTTCAAGTACATCCCTCTGCCCCGTGCAACACTCCAGGTTGAGTTCGTGAAGGAGGCCTGGGCCAACAGTCCTCCGGATGCTGTGGCGGCTGTCGAAACAGAGGCGGAGATGAGGGGACCGAGCGTGCAGTAGCGTGTGATTTTTTTGTTTGAGGGGATGTGGGCAGTGGAGGCGGGGCGGGGCGGGGCGGGGGGGGNNGGGGGGGGGGGGGGGGGTTTAGGGGGCTACGGGCTGGGGTGTTATGTTCTCCTATATCAGATCCCCCCGCCCCCACCCTGACACACAAACCCTTGGACTGCGAATTCTTGCCCCGACTCAGGCACCAGCGGAGGTGGTGGAAACAGAGGCCAAGCCCAGCAGCGTCGCCCTGACGCCAGAGCTGGCCCAAGCTGTAGGCCTCTTGATGGAGTTGGGAGCATATCTGTATATATGTATCTATAGAGAGAGATCGATAGATAAATAGATAGATAG